CACTTGATGGTCTTGATTGCTTTATGAGGTGCAACATACAGAGATGGATGTGGGAAACTAAAAATGGGGTATGAATAGTTGAAAGAAGTGGAAGAATGAGTAAAAAGACAGCCTAGTGGCACTAAGAGCCTGGCTCAAATTGAAGACCTTGAATTGTTGCTGAATAGTATTGATTTATTCAGTCATTCATTCACCCATTGATTGTTGGTTACCATGGAAACATTGATCAGTGATGTCATTTTGGCCATACCAATACATGTCAGAGTCTCATGGAAGTTCAGAGCTCCAAGCTGTCAACCAGGGTCATGACTCCATCATGGCCACACCATTTACATTACTGAATGCTCTCATTCTCTACCACAGCTGCCACTACCGAGTGGATGCTGATGCTCCCCAAATCTCTAGCCCCAGCCCAAACCTTTTCCTGGGCTTCAGACCTATAAACACCCAACAGGCACCTCAGTCTCAACATCTCCAAACCCATATTCATCATATTCCCCCCAAAGGCTGCTCCAGCAAGGGAGTGGACTTTCCCAGACAGTCTGTGTATATGAGGATACCAGGTTACCTTCTCACTATCTACTTCCTTGCTTGGTTCTGAAAATGCCATCTCCAAGGCTTCCCCATGGTTTGAGGAATCATGACTTTCAGGGGATACATGTGGACAAGCTGGAGGAAAAGTGTTTGAGGCAGAGAAAACAGCTAGTGCTAAAGCCTTAAGGCAGGAAAAAAGTATGTTCCAGGAGTGGAAAGAAGGTCAGTCTAACTGAGTTTGGTAGACAAGGAAGAGTCTGGTTCAAAGGGAAGTCGGAGAAGTAAACAGGAACTAGATCACATGGAGCACTGTAGGTTAAGTGAGGGAGATTAGACTTTCTTCTTGGAGCACTGCAAAATCATTTAAGGGTTATAAACAGAAGAGTTGGTGCATTAGCCGGGGTTCTCTGGAGAGAGAGAACCCATAAGATATATATAAATGTAGAGAAAAAGATTCATCATGAGGAATTGGTTTATGTGATTATCTGCTATCTGCAAGCTGAAGGCCCAGGAAAGTCAGTGGTGTAGTTCTCATCCAAGCCCAGAGGCCTGAGAATCAAGAGCACTGATGTCCGAGGACAAAAGAAGATGGATGTTCCAGCTCCAGAGAAGAGAGAATGTACCCTTCCTCGACCTTTTTTGTTCTTTTCCAGCCCTCAATGGACTGGATGATGCCCACCCATGTTGGGGAGGGTGGAGCTTCTTTACTGCCTGCTGATTCAAATGCTAATCTCTTCTGGAAACACCTGCACAGACATACTCAGAAATAATGTTTTGCCAACTGTCTGGGTATGCCTTAGTCCAGTGAAGCTGGCACACAAAATTAACCATCACAGTACGCATGATTTGATTTATACTTTTAATTACACCTTTAAATTTGATTTCCACCTTGGCTGCTGAGTGGACAATAGAAAGTACAGGAACAAGACAAACAGAATATAGGCAGGGAGACCAATTAAGGGAGAGCAGGAGATAGGCAGGGAGACCAGACTGCAGTAATCTAGGTGAGAGTTGATGTTGGATGGGACTAAGATGTAATTGTGATGATGAAGAGAAGTTTCAGATTCTTGATTAGTTCTAGGGGGGACATTCAACAGGACTTAAGTATGAGGCATGAGGAAATAAATCAAAGATGTGTCCAAGGTTTAAGCCTGATAATATGTGTGAATGTGTGTTATTTACTGGGATGGGGAAGACCTGGGAGAGGAACATGTTTGGAGGTGAAAGGGGAAGCAGGAGTTTGATTTGGGATAAAGCAAGTCTGAGACACAGATTAGACATCCAAACGGAGGTATAAAATATAAGGTTGGATATATATGAGTGTGAGCTAGACAGAGCTGGAGGTAGTTCTGGGAGGCACTGCAGCATATTCAAAGCTTTTGGCCAGAGGAGCTCACCAGGGAGAAGATGGATCTAAAGAAGGAGATATATTGCCAAGACTTAGAGCACTATGACATTTAGAAATCAAGCAGCAAATGTGCAGGGCTGCTAAGCAGACTACAAAGGGACAACTAAAAAGATATGATATTCTAGAAGCCAAGAGAAGAAAGCAGTTCAAGAAGGGTGTGGCCAATTGTATCAACCATATCATATGCTGCTGAGAGATCAAATAAGGACAGAGAAGTGACCACTGGAGGTCATCAGCAGCCTCGTGAAAAACAGTCTCAGTGGGTTGGAAGAAAGAGAGGACCCATGGCAGAGGGGTGAGCAGAGAATCGAAGGTAAGGAAGTAGACACAGGAGACAACTCCCTGAAAAGGGCTGCTGTGAAGGACAGCAGAGAACTCGATCAGCTGCAGGAAAAGGTAGGGTAGGGAAAAGGCTCTGCAAACCCTGGAGATACTGGAACAGGTCTGCATTTGGGGGTAATTATCTGAGTGGAAAGAAAGAAACTAGAGATGCAGCAGAGATAAGAGAATTGCAGAAGCAAAGTCCTTTAAAAAACCAAGAGGCCAGAGGATCAAGCTGACAAGTGAAGGGGGTTTCTCTTGGTAAAAGCAAAGACACTTTATCCATAGCAATATGAAGACAGGAAGGACATATGAACACAAATTCAGACAAATTGGGAGGTGTGCTGGGAAGATAAAGGTCCTCCTTTATCAAGGACACAGCCAAACCATATCAAGGAGGACCTATATAACTGCTTCTATTTTTTTTTTTTTTCCGGTGAAATATGAGGTGAGGTCATCAGGTAAGAATGAGGGAAGATAACGAGGTGGATGGCCCTTGGGAGAGATGAGAGGCCCCAGTAAGTGAGGGAGGCGAGGGAGGCAGGAGGTAAAAGATGTGAAATAGTTGTTTTGAAGACTGGGGAGTGGAACACATAGTGAAGGGTAGGATTGCTGAGCAGGGCTGAGTGCTCATTTGAGATTTGTGGTCATGAATTTAAAGCAAGACCAGTTGGTCTAGTTATGTGTTTTTCTCTCATGACATTTACCTGCTTGAATTCAGGTGTGTAGTAGTCAGATGTGTAGGCTTAAGCAGAGAACAAATATGAAGGAAGAAGAGTGGAATACAGGAATTAGAAGTACTTGAAATAGAGTAGTTATGATGATGAACCACAGAAATTAAGCTGGTTAATGAAGGAAGTGAGAACCTGAGGGAAATGACAGATAGTGGGAAAAGTGGAAGGGCCAGTGTATTGGAAGTCTTGATGAGGTGGATTGGAAATATTACCCCAAGGGAGCTGGGATGAAAGGAGGTAGCAGTCAGAGAATGTAGGTTTTTAATGATGGTATGGTCATGGACATGACAAAGGTAATGAGTGGCTGGAATGGGACAGATCAAAGGAGTAAATTAAAAAGAAGATACATTAGTCTGTTCTCACACTGCTAATAAAGACATAACCCGAGCCTGGGTAATTTATAAAAGAAAGAGGTTTAATTAACTCGCAGTTCAGGATGGCTGGTGAGGCCTCAGGAAACTTACAATCACGGTGGAATGGGAAGCCAACACATCCTTCCTCCCATGGTAGCAGGAAGCAAAAGTGCTGAGCAAAAGGGGGAAAAGCCCCTTATAGAACCATCAGATCTTGTGAGAACTCACTCATTATCACCAGAACAGTATGAGGGTAACTGTCCCCGTGATTAAATTACCTCCCACTGGGTCCATCCCATGACACGTGGGGATTATGGGAACTACAATTCAAGGTGAGATTTGGTTGGGGACACAGCCAAATCATATCAGAAGATCAAAGACAGACATGGAACCTAGAAGCCAATGTATTGGATGTCTCGCCCGTATGAATGTTTAAATTACCAGGAATGGTGTCAGGAAAAAGGATAGAGAGGAAGACAGTGTGCCAATGCTAAAGACACCCACAAATGAGGGTAAATAGAGCATTCATATGGGCATCAAAGGAGTGGAGAGTTGAAGGAAGAGGGAGAAGGAATGGGTTTGGAAGTGACCGCAGAAGGCAAGGAGGACCACTTACCCAACTTTTCCACCTTAGGCCCTCAGGTACCCAGTTTTTGAGAGCAAAGACACCTTCCACCTCAGTAGATTGTAAAAGAAATAATGTCATGAGCAGATATTCAGCTTTCATTTAATGCAAAAAAGTAAGTGAGCACTCAGAGAAGTAGTTGAGGATACTGGAAAGAGTGTAATTGACAGCCATGAGTTCACAAACCCACAGAGAAAAGGTTTGGGAGCACAGGAAGGAATGGAAAATTGAGTCAAAACAGAGACTGTTCAGAGTGGCATGGGCATTAGGGTCCCCTTGACCTGAGGAGCTTGGGTTTCTGGAGATGACTAAGGTGGACAGGAATGAAAAGCATCCTGAAATTAGTATTGATGGTCTCTTAGGGAAAGATAGACTTGAGACAAAGGGCACAATGCTCATTAGCAACAATTCTCTACTGTGCCTGTGAGTAATGCAGAAGCCAGAATGAGTCCCTCAAGGGATTGTTCTCTTGTGGAGTTCACTGTGAAGGCTTCTGGGGAGGGTCCATCTACCCTGAAAATGGATCCCTAGGGCTGACTTTTCCAACTCTTCAGGTGGTGCAGTGTTATGATGCTTTGGAGCACAAGCAGCTCAGAACCTGCCCCTTTGCTGCTGGGTGGTGTGGTGGTGTGGCAGGCAGGTTCCCAAATCATTCCACACAAGTGACATTCGTGTAAACACCACTGCAATTTCTCTGTTGGAGTCTGCAGGCCCATCCTCAAGTTATCAGGGAGAATTTTAATTTTTCTATATTGATAATAATCTTAACAAATAATAAAATCATATTCTACATCCTCTAAATGTGAGGCTACCAGATAAAATACAGGACTCCCAGTTAAATTTAGATTTCACATAAACAGTGAATGCTTTTTTAGTATAAATATATCTCAGATATTGCATGAGACATATTTCTACCAAAAAATTATACTTTATAGCTATTGCCACCTGATGTTAGTACCTGTGTGTATGCATTTATTATATATTTATTACACAATAAAGAGATTTATTATAAGGAATTGGCTTACACAATTTGGAGGCTGGCAAGAACCAGGATCTGCAGGATAAATCCACCAGCTGGAGATCCAGGAGAGCCAATGGCATAGTTCCAGTCCGAAGGCTGCAGGTCTGTGAACCAGAAAAAGAGCCAATTTCCCAGTTTGGAGGCAGTCAGGCAGGAAGAATCCTCTATTACTCAAGGAAGGGTCAGTCTTTTTTTCTAGTGAAGTGTCAAATGATTGGGTGAGACCCACCAACATCAGGGAGGGCAATCTGCTTTGCTCAGTCCATTGATTTAAATGTTAATCTCATCCAAAACCACCCTTGTAGAAACATGTAGAATAATATTTGACTAAACATCTGGGCACCCTGGAACCCAGTCAAGTTGACATACTAAATTCACCATCACAGTGTTCATGTTTGCACTGTTTATGATGAAACTGGGACTGAGCAGTAACATTAATGAGAAAAGGGAGGCAGACCCAATCTCAAGGTGTAATATGGCCATGTTAACTAAAGATGAAAGAGTATCACAGCCCTGTAAGAAGTAAGCTTTCTCAGAAGTTCAAATAGAGAAAGTTCAAACTGAGTCATCCACACACAGCATTACAGTCATGACAAATTCCAAAGAACCTGCCCCTTCACAGGTTAGCCCCATAGTAACACTGCAATTTAGTGTCAGCAACTAAAAAAAAAAAAAATTCCATCATTAATGTATGGGTTTCTATTTTGATTTTGTTTGTAGCATTGTATTTAATTTATAAATTTGTTTTGGTTTGATTGTTTATAAGGCTATATCTAGTTTTACATGTCAACATACTTAAATAATGTTAAACTAAAATTCATTTAAGTAACACATTAAGTACCAAGGAGTCTATGAGATTTTTCTGCTTTTAAATGGGTTCATTAGTCTGTTATTCTTAGTTTGAGAAACACTTATAATAATAATATAAAAGCATTTATGGCCCTTTTTTAGGGCATTTGTGTTTTGGAGCATTTCGTTTGCATAATTCATTGAACTAGATATTATTAGAGGGATTTTTAAACAACAAATGGACAAAAGTGTGTACTGTGTGCTACACTCAATTAGAAAATGTTGCACATTATATCTCCTCTTAGATATATACAAAGAATTTTAGTGAATAAAAGACTTGGAGAAATTGGGCAGAAAAAGATGTCAGATGCTGTTTCACTCAGTGTTCCCAAGCTTAGCTGAGCAAAGAATACCTCTATTCCAGTAACTATCAATATCCTAAGAAATAGCTTTCTTTGAAAAACGAGTTTGGAAAACATTCATCCATAATACTATCTAGAATAAGGATATTCTATTAACATTTTTGTGCCAAAGACTCTTCTAGCAGCCTAGTGACAGCTATGGACATCTTCTTAGAATAATGTATTAAAAATACAAAGGAATACAAAGGAAACCAATTATATTCAAATACAGTTTTCAAAATAACTTTAAAACAAATGGGAGTACCTGAAGGAGAGAAGAGGAAAGGACAAAAGAAATATTTAAAGAAATAATAGAGGCTGGGCACAGTGACTCATGCCTGTAATCCCAGCACTTTGGGAGGCCGAGGCAGGCGGACCACTTGAGGTCAGGAGTACGAGACTAGCCTGGCCAACATGGTGAAACCTCATCTCTACTAAAACTACAAAAATTAGTTGGGCGTGGTGGTGCATGCCTGTAATCCCGGCTACTCGGGAGGCTGAGGCAGGAGAATCACTCGAACCTGGAGGTAGAGGTTGCAATGAGCTAAGATCACACCACTGCACTCCAGCCTGGGCAAGAGCAAAACTCCATCTTGAAAAAAAAAAAAAAAGTCACATGACTATGCTTTATTTCAAGGGGACAGAAGAGTATATGCATCCACATACCTATAAGTAAAGGAGAATTGGATAATTGGTGAACATTAATTATCTTCCACAATTACCTGTGATACTAAAAATTATTTCCACACCAACATATTGCAAAGAGATCACAACAGAACATGCTCAAAGAATGTGAACTGTCCCATGAACCAGAGGTCCTACTCAGAAAAGGTGGGAGAACTACAACTCCTGCCACACCTTATCCTCTCAATACATTCCCAGTATGGACAGACAAAATTCCAAAAAACCCAAGGACATCAGGGTGGCAGCTCTATTTGATTAAAAAATCTCTTAGTTGGTGGAGGTTGCCGTGAGCTGAAATCGTGCCATAGCACTCCAGCCTGGGCAACAAGAGCGAAACTCTGTCTCAAAAAACAAAACAAAACAAAACAAAAGTCTCTCAGCTGCCTAGAAACCAACTTTCTTTGCACTTGCTATTCATACAGTCAGATACCTCTACCACTTGTTCATTCAATATCCCTCGTCTATGCCCAGCTGATGGAGAAACCCATCAGGTATGGTCTACACCCAGGAGTCTAAACAAAGCACTATGGGAACATAGACGAAGGAGCTAATTGTTTTTCTAGTGTTTTGCACTCCAACCTAGCCACTTTTTTCCTGCTTTTGTGATACAAACCTGGGTCCCCCACCTTGCCAACTCTGCAGCTGAGCAGCTTTGTGGCCATGGCAAATCCCTTCACCTGGAATTCTGAGGCTCGGTTTCCTCAGCTGTAAAATGGGAATGATAACGCCTACCTCCCAGGATTATTGTGAGAACAAGAATGAGATAATGTCTATAGAAATGTGTTTTGTGTCAGGCCAAGTTATCATCCCCATCAGCAGCATCATGGCTGTCTTCTACTGTCTAGAAGGGGAGCCCCCGGGCTGGAGAAGGCCCAGGGAAGAGAGGGGTTCCCAGGCCGACCCTCTTACTCTGGGGGATTCAGGGGCCTCTCTCTAATTAACTCTTCCTGGCAGAAGTTTCTTGCTGGACGTGTTTGCCTACCAGTGAAAAGCCGGGTGAGGCTTCCAGGGGCCGCCTACTGGCCCTGACACACCAGGGAAGAATGATGACTCACCAGACTCTAACAGCCTTGCTGACAGGCCCATTGGCCCAGTCCAGGCAGAGGCTGGAGAGGGCTGCCCAGGGTGCAGCGGGGCCATTAGGTTTTATAGAAGTGAAAGAGAGAAAGAGAGAGGGAAAGGAAGAAAAGGGAGAGATAAAGGAAAAGAAACAAAGGCCCCAAAAGGGAAAAAGAACGGAAGAAAAACAAAGTAGAATGGTGGTTAGGAGGGGCGGTGGGATGGGTAGTTGTTTAATTGATATTAAGTCCGTTTTGCAAGATGAAAAAGTTCTAGAGCTCTGTTGCACAACAATGTGAATACAGTTAACACTACTGAACTGCACACTTAAAATGGTTAAGATGGTAAATTTCATGTGACATGTTTTCCACCACAATTAAAAATATTAAAACACACTTTTAAAAGAAATGAGGCCGGGCGTGGTAGCTCACACCTGTAATCCCAGCACTTTGGGAGGCCGGCCGAGGCAGGTGGATCACGAAGTCAGGAGTTCAAGACCAACCTGGCCAATATAGTGAAACCCCTTCTCTACTAAAAACACAAAAAAATTAGCCGGGCGTGGTGGCGGGAGCCTGTAATCCCAGCTACTCGGGAGGCTGAGGCAGGAGAATCGCTTCAACCCGAGAGACGGAGGATCGCGCTATTGTCCTCCAGCCTGGGCGTCAGAGGAGACTCCGTCAAAAAAAAAAAAGAAATAAAGAAAGAAAGAAAAGAAAAGAAAAGAAAAAGAGGAGGAAAGGAAGAAAGGAGAGGGAGGAGAAAGAAGAGAGAGAGGAGAAAGAAAGGAAGGAGGCAGAAGAGAAGGAAGGAGGGAGGGAGGAAGAGAAAGGAAACGGAAGGCGGGAGGGAGGAGAAAAGGAAAATTAAAAGGAAGGAGATGGAGAAGGGAGGAGGAAACGGACGGAAAGAGGGAGGAATGCGAGAGATAAAAAGGAAGAGCTGGGAGATGGTAAGAAGGAAGAAAAATAGCTGACAGGGAGGAGGAAGAAGGAAGAAGCGGCGCAGGTCTACAGGCGGCCGCGCACCGCTTCCTCCCTAGGCCCGGCCCAGCGCTCCGGGGCTGCTCGTGACGTCGCCGCCCCGCCGCCCCGCCGCCCCGCCCCGTCCCGTCCGGTCCCAGCGCCCGGGCCTTGTGAAATCGCGCGCGCTGGCGGCCGCAGTAGACCTTACCGCTCTCCTTGGGTGGCTGCGAGTCCCTTGGCCGTGGGCCCTGTGCGCGGCCAGCCCCGGCGGCGGGAAGGCGATAATTGCCCAGAGACGCAGCACTTATCTGGGCCGGTTGTGTAAGGCGCACGGGGGGAGGCCAAAGGCGGCGGCTCTCACGCCTCAGCGGCCAGGCATGCGCGGGGGCGAGGGCGGGCCAGGGTCCCGTGGGGGCGCCTCCAGCGGTTCCCGTTGTGGACGCCGCCCCGTTCCTCAGGAAAGAGCCACAGCCCGTCACCGCTGGGGATGGGGAGACCCGCGCTCCCATCCTGCTTGGCCACCTGCTGGGGTGCGTGACGTCGGTGGACTCCCACCCGTGCCTCTGAACCCCAAGCGCCTCCTCTGTGTACTAGGGGTAGAAACGCCACCTCTCTGAGCCTCTGGTTGACAGGATAAGAAATTATGCAGGAGAGGCCTGGAACATTGCCAGGCACACATTAGGTACATGGCAAATGGTGGCCTCGATGCCCATAGACTGCCAGTCAAAACCAGGTTCAAGTTGTGTCTGCCACTGACTTGCTGGTGACTTTGGGACATTTACCTCCCCTCTCTGGTCTTCAGTTTCCTCTTCAGAAATTGGAGTTTGATGCTCACCATCATCGTGGGCCAGGATGATGGTCTGTGCCAGCTATCCTTGAAAAAGGGTGAGGCCGGGCTGAGTGTGCACTGGGTTTGGACATGGCAGGTGGCTCCTGTCACTTGCTCCTAGTTCCTGGGGCCATGGTCCTTGGAGCTGCTGTTAGAGAGGGATGGAGTGGGACAGGGTATCCTGAGCTTACACCAGGATCCCTAGAAGTGTGATCACACATAGACACACACATATGCACACACATATACACATACATCACACTACCTACACACAGGTGCACACATAACCCATGGAGGTCTGACAGTAGCTGCAGTCACCCAGCACCTTCTGTGAGCCTTTGAGGCCAGTGCTCCCCAGGGCTTTAAGGTGGTGTTGCTGTCCCAACCAACAAGTAAGAAACTGAGGCTAGGGGAGAGCAGATGAGCTTGGTCCTGGGGGCAGCCACCTGCAGTGGGGCCTCATTCTGCACCAACACTATGAGATTGTAGTCCAACCTTGGGAAGGAAGCAGAGCTAGTCACCTGCTCAGGCTCAAGTCTGGGGTGCCCAAAGATGGTTCCATAGGGGAGCCACTCTTTGGATCTGGCCTGAGAGTCCCTACTTTCCTCCTTCCCCTTTTTAACCTTGAAAAAAATAAAAAGTATGCAGGACAAAAAGACTCAAAGAATAATATAAAAATAAATACCCATCATCCAAAATGAAAAATTTTAAATTAAAAAAGGAGAAGTGGCCAGGCGTGGTGACTCACGCCTGTAATCCCAACACTTTGGGAGGCCGAGGCGGGCGAATCACGAGGTCAAGAGTTTGAGACCGGCCTGACCAATATGGTGAAACCCCATCTCTACGAAAAATACAAAAAAAAAAAAAATTAGCCAGGCATGGTGGCACACGCCTGTAATCCCAGCTACTCGGGAGGCTGAGGCAGGAGAATCACTTGAACTCAGGAGGCGGAGGTTGAAGTGAGCCAAGATTGCACCACTGCACTCCAACCTGGGCAATAGAGGGAGACTCCGTCTCAAAAAAAAAAAAGGAAAAGTTAGAGTATGATGGTTCCCACTTCACCAATCTGTTGGGAGGATTAAAATAATGAGGTGGCCCTTGGAAAGTGAGGGATATACTCACATCAGATTCTCCCAACCACTGTCCTCCTTGCCCTCTGCTTCTGTGACAACAGGCACTCCCAGTTTCCCCTTCCCAGTCTTTTTGCAGGTTCCCACTCCCTTACTCATGCCTGAAGAGTCGGTGTGCTTAGGGGCTAACCAATTTAGGCATCCCTCTCTTTTAGGCATCCCGCTCTCCCTTGGGATGACTTAGTGATTGCATACTCTCAAAGACTTCAGGTCCCAGTGTCCTGCGATTGTATGAGATTTTAATTTTGTTCGTTTTGCTAATTCATATTTTCTGTATTTGCTCTCAAACTGTGTGATTTTTTAAATAAATCTTTTTAAATAAAATGTTTATTGATTGATTGGGTATTTTTATTCCCAACATGGCTGGGATCCTTAAGCCTCTTGGAGCTCCTTGGAGGGGCCCGAGAAGCCAGGACAAAAATGCCTCTCACCTATATCCGATTCCAATACATAGCCATGTCAGTGGGAAGGAAAAACAGTTGCTCTTTCGGTAGAAATGGCTACTGGAGGAAACTTGATTCATTGAAGAACTTGGCTTGGGAATTTGCAGACTGGTAGCACTCATCAAGGCCTTGGAGATCTTCAGATTCCACCGCCTCATCTTGGAATCAGGAAACTGGAAACCCAAAGGTGATTGATTACTGTCCCCGTCTGCCAGATGGCACAGGAAAGTAATGGCAGAACCAGAATTTGAACATGTTTCCTCACTCTGTGGTCCCTGCTCATTTTGAAATATGTCCCTACCCATCCCAGCAATTGACCCCAAGACAATCTACACACACACACACACACACAAACACACACAGACACCCCATGAGCAGCCTACTTTTCCATCCAAAGTCTTTACATTCAGAAAGCAGATCAATCTTGGATTCACTTGATTTCCTATGGGGATCTCTCATACTAATCCTTGAGAAAAGTGAACCAACTTAAATCCCCCACCAAGCTCTGTTCTAAGGAAGAATATTCAACTCTGTGACAATTACATTCCAAAGTCCCTATTTTCTGTAGAGAGCTTCCTTGATGTTAACCACTTTTCTTAGTTATTCTTTTATTTTTTATTTTTATTTTGTTTTATTTTATTCTTTTATTCTACCAACAACTCCACAATGTAGGTATTAGTGTTCTTTTGCCCTATGAGAAAACTGAACTTCAAAAAGGTTAAATAACTTCCTCAAAGGCACAGCAATAAGTGGCAGAGCCAGGATTCAAACACTCATTCTCAGGACACCACACCCTGTACCTCAGTGTTCCCTGGTCCACACTGCCAGACCAGAGCAGAAGTCCTTTGTACAGTTTGCAGGGAATCATTCTTGAAACCCACAGGAAATGGGAGCTAAAATGACTTTGTAGGTCCTCATTTCACATTTCGTTCCATCTTTCCAACAAACCACATTGTACAGAATGGTTTAAATCATGACTTCTGGACAGAGAACCTGAATTGAAATCCTGACTCAACAACTTACTAATTGTGCAACTTTGGGCAAGTTACCTAATCTCTCTGTGCCTTAGAGTCCTCATCTGTAGAGTGTGGATAATAATAGTACTTAATTCATAGAGGTGTTATGAGGATGAAATGAGTTACAACGTGAAAGTACATAAAACACTGCTTGACACATAGTAAGCTCTTCATAAATGGAGAGTTTTTACCAGGGTCATTATCATCATTGCTACACTATTATTACTACTACTAAGAATTTGTGATACACTGGGTCTTAAGATAGTGAATGGGAAGACAAAGATGACATACACACTGTCCTCTCCTTATGGAACTCATCCTATGGAAGGAGGATACAGAAACCATGTATGATTACAATTTAATAATACAGTAAATGTAATAGCAGTGATGTGTGTGGACACTCCAGAGAGTAGACATGGCTTGTTCAAGGCAGCAGCAAAGTTAGAACTTGAGCCCAGTTATCCTGAGCCTTTTTCTGTTCCACCTTATTGACTGGGAATGTGCCTGTGGACTGCACATATAGGTGTGACCCCAAAATCTTTGCACACGGCACCAAAAAGAGGTTCCTAAGGCCATGGCTTCTCCAGCTGAAGATGTTACTAAAGTGGAGAGATGGTCAATGAACCTCTGCTGAATGAGTCAGTGAATCAAAGGCCCTGGTAAGAAGCCAGCCAATTTTCTCCCCCCACCCAGCGCGTAGGTTTGAGGCAATGGCAGGGCAAAGCAGTTCTACATGGGCCCTAGAGGACAGCTGGTCCCCCTCTTCATCCTCAAAAGGATGTTTCATCGGGGTACCGCCATTCACAGACCCCTCCTTTACCACAGCTATTTCTGGTGCCCTCAAGAGAAATTTAAATTCACTCAAATCAATAATTTCCACAGTTCTGTGATTTGTATGTGCCCAACTCTGTAGAAGGGAAGGTGAATCAGCAACACTCCCTACCCTCGGGGTGCTCAAATTCCAGAAGGCAAACATGACAAATTGCTAGCCTACAGGGTAGAAAGTGATCCGGCCCTGAGAAAGGGACAGACCACAGAGACAACCAGCATCCAGATAATTAGAGCTCTCACAGATAATTAGAGCTCTCACAGTACAGTCGACTGAGTAATGTTGCCAAAGATGTCCATCCATGAATCTTGGGAACCCGTGAATATTACTCTATATGACACATGGGTCTTTGCAGGTATGATTAAATTAAGGATCCTAATATGGGGAGGATATCCTGGCTTATCCAGATGGGCCCTAAATGTAAACATTTGTTTCAGCAGCTACAGGAAACTAATACAGATAGATTGCTGACTATGCTAAGCATTCTCATTGAGTTTTTTCCATGAACTCCAAAGCCAGACTGCCAGGGTTCAAATCATGGCCACTTTTCTTTCCATCTGTGTGACTTTAGTCAATTTTCCTCTGTGGGCTTCAGTTTCCTCATTTATAGAAGAGAAATAATATTTCGTAACCTCCTCCCCCATAGGAATGATGTAAGCAATGATATGTAGGAGATATTCTAAATGCTCACAATTATTTGGTTCTCCTTTCCTTCCTAGTTATTTGGGAATCTACACTTCCTGCCCCCTGCAGCAAGAGGCACCATGTGGCCAGTTTTGGACAATGAAATGTGAGCGGTGAAAAGCCCCAGTGGGACCTGGGCCACATGACCACAAGCCTATGGGCACATCACAAGCTCTCTCAGACTCAGTGACAATATTGGACTTCTCCAATGTCCAATGTCCCTTCCAACACTCAGCCCCTAGGACCCTGAGCACCATGTGACAAAAGGGACAGTAAACAAGAGAGCAGGAGAGAAGAGATTTAAAGGGTTCCTGCAGCAGTGTGAAGCATGCAGAGTGTGCATCGTGTGGATTCCCCAGAAGATATGTGCATAGCACCAAAGGTGATCGTAGGCGGCACCAGGATGAACTTCATTGTTACAATAATTAATTTAATTAATTATGGCAAATTATACTGGGTTTCCATCCAAAGTTTCTTTTTAGAGTAAATGTACATTTTTTTAAAATGAGTTAATTTAAAGAAAAAATATTGATTACTCTCACAAGTGGTTTGTAGATATGGCAAAAATTGTAAAGGCA